ATATATTAGTAATTTATCAATACACTATAGCTAAGAATGAGTCTCTAAACTATTTGGCATATAAAATTTCACAGATCAATTATGTTTCTTTTGAAGGGATATAATTATTTATTCATTACTTTAATAAGGATATAATTAAAAAAACACTTGGATCAAGTAGCCGAAATTATAAAAATCCTTTGTAAGTAGTTTTTTTTGATCTTATATTAAAAAAAAAAACTTTTTTAATAGTGAGAGACATTTGAATTATGTCTTTATCTTTAATTTAGGGACTATAGCTCTACTGAACTTTTTATTATTATTAAAATTATATTTTATATTAATAATTTTTTAAATATAATTAGAATTAATATTTTTAAATAAATAAATATTATTTTACAATAAAGATCATCACGTGTATTGCACCTTAGCCTTAAAAAAAAATAAATAAATAAATATTATTATACTTAATTTTTATTCAAAATTTTTATTTTCTCTTGTTCAAATATTATTTGTTCTATAATAGTTTTGTATTATAGATTTGTTACAACACTTTTAATATCTATTGTACTTATTATATCTTTATCATTTTTAGAATATTTTTATTTTATTTCATCTTTACTTTTTATATTATTTTTATTAAAGTATTTATCTATATGAATGTTAATACAATTGAATATTCTGATAAAAATAGTATCTATATCTTAGTATATATTTATTCTATATGAAAATATAACTTAAACATATATATAAAGCTTCCAATTTTATTTAAAAATTAACAGACTTGAACTTTTATTTTATTGAATAAATATTTTAACCTTTATTAAAGCAAATTGTGAATTTAATTTATTAAATTCACAAGAATTATTATTAAATTAAATGGAATTAAATAATAATCAAGCCTAGTACTTAATAAAAAATAAAAAAAGTTATGATTTCTTTTTTGTATCATAACAATAGGAATTTTGAATTACTGTTCTAGAAACAATAGGTGTTAAAAAACTAGAAGTGAAGAGTAAAGTAAAAAGTTTTGTCCAAATATATTCAATCTATTAGGTTCCTAAAGCTCTAATTTTTCTGTTTGACTTATTATAATTTTTTTTTTTGAAATTAAACTCTAGAAATATATCAAAAAGTAGAGTTCAATAATTATAAAAGAAAATCTTATATAAAATATAAAATTAGTAACCATAATATATTATTTTAGAGATAAAACAATAGAAAAAATAAATTCAAAATCTTAAATCTTAATATAAATCCTATAGATGCATTAGGCCAATAGAATTGGAGAGAGTAAGTGATATATATGTATTATTAAATATATTTAGTCACTAGTATACATATGATATAAATTATTTGCTATTGATTCAACTTCCAAAATTCTCAAAAATAATTGCATTGTAATTAAGGATGTGTTCCTAAATTATTTAATATATAAAATTTTGCAGATTAGTTATATCCTTTTTAAAAAAACATAATTATTTATTCATTACTATAATAGGAACATAATTTAAAAAACACTTGGATCAAGTGGCTTAAATTGCAAAAAATCTTTATAAATAATTTTTTTTTAACCTTATATTTAAAAAAAAAACTTTTTTAATAATAAGAAACATTTGAATTATATTCTCACCTTTAATTTAGGGACCTATTTTTAGTTATAACTTAATTATTTATATGTTTTAATAGTGACTTAATTAATAGTGTCAAATAATTGTATCAATTGTATCAAGGATCTATGAATTTTAACAATATGTATAGTTCTTAGTGAAGGCTTAATAAATAAAAGCATTGTTATTATCTAACTATACCATTGTAAGTTGAACATAGTTAATTGTAGTAAAATAACTAACAGATAACAAAAAAAACAGATTGCTATATTTATTACTCTAAAGTTTTGATATAGATAAGAGTTAATAATTGTATAACATAATATTAGATAGATTTGAAATAATCAAATTGATAAGATATAGTAATATATCTTCTAACAGTATAATATAATTTTTATCCTTAGCTGTAACACCTTGAAAAAATAATAAAAGATTGATAGGTTGTAAAAGAAATAATAAAAAATGTTACATATTCAAGAGTCTATATTATATCTAGAAATATTCTGAAAAGGAAGATATTAATAGCCTGTCTATTTTAAATATAACTATAGTTAATATTTTCTTGATAACTTATAACATCATCCAATAGTATTTAGTCTTATTAACAATTGAAATCCAAAACAATCAAGATATCTTTTGACAAATTTCTGATAGTACAAAAAAAATAATCAAAGTTAACTATATATTAATTATTTTAAGAATCATTAATTTAAGTTAAAGATTCTAATAATTCTCTTTAATTTTGTATTCAATTCTCAAGTTTATATTAAATTTAATAGGTGGGTATACCCTACCATTATTTTTTATAGTGTTTTGAATCTTATGTGATTCCTTGCAATTCTGTTCGATTCCAATTTTCAGAACCATGGTCTAAATATTTACAAATCAGTTTATTTTTAATTAACCAAGTTCAAATTCAAATCAATAATAAATAAAACCATATATTAGAATATTTTTTTATCTTACTTTATTAAAAATCCTAAGATAAACAATATCAATCTGAATAGTAGTATCATATGATTTAAAAAATCTTAAGAATTATTAAAATCTATATTATCTGTGAAAGTTTCTTTATAGTTAAAACTAAGAATTCTAATGACTTAATTTGATTTAATTCTTAATTTTCTGATTTATATATAATTTAATATGTGAATTATAATCCATTATTATTTTTGAATAATATTTTGAATTTTATATAAGTTTATATAAATCTGTTTGATTCCAATTTTCAGAATTATAATTAAAATTTTTCAAGAAACTCTGAATTCATATGGATTAAAAATTTTTATCAAATTAATTAAGCAAATTAAAAGTCTATAAAACAATTCTTATAATAATTTAATATTTTTTAAAATCAGAAATACTTTCAATATGAGCTTTTTTCAATTAATTCTATCCAAAGCAATATCAAATCATTTTTGTTTAAAATATTAAAATAGAAAATCAAATTTTTCATATAATCAATATTATAAACAATATTTTATATTCAAATTAGAGCAACAAATCAATAAATTACATTTGGCAAGTAGTCAAATTATTGTATAGCTTTACTAGTAAAATCTTTTTTATAACAAATACTATTATTTGAATTAAAGCAATCTTTAAAAATCTTTTTCTGCTTTATAATCTTATTTAAAACTAATATACAATATAATAAACATATCTTTTACTATTGAAATTAAGTAGAACTTAAATTTTTATTAATCAAAAAAAATTCTATTCCAAGAAAATAAAGTCAAAAAATATCAAACTCCTGATTTAACTCAAACTTCTATAATAAACTTATTATGAATCTTATATCACCTGTTACAAATAAATTTATTAATAACAATTATAATTTTATCTTATGTTACAAAAATTTAATAATCAAATTTAATAATTTTATTATTAATCTTGAATAAATATTTATAGTTACTTAATACTATTTCAGATATGTAATAGTTTTAATATTTATTTTTCTTATTGTTTAGATAGTTTATATAGACAAGTTAATATTAAACTTATTAACTTAGTAAGTTTAATATTAGTTTACTTATAAAAACTATCTAAGTAATAAAGAAAATAAATATTTTTATAAATAAAAGAGAATATATAATAATATAGTATATGTTACATTACATAATTAGTATGTTTATGAGAAAAACAGTAAGAAAGTAATGGTAAGAAAATTAGAATAGAGTATTTTATATAATTATATAGTACAAAATAATTAGTATATAAATAATACTAGTATATAAATAAACAGATTTGTATAAATATGACTACTGAATAAAGAAAAATAAAGATAATTAATATTTAGGTAGCATTTATTCAAACCCTATTTTGAAATGTTTAAACTCTTATTTGTATTAATTATTTTTGTTATTATTTACATACTTATAACTTGCTCACATGACTATATGAATCAGAGTTTGACTAAAAAGATTGAAAAAATTATAGCAACTATAAAAGTTCAAGTATAAAATGAAAAGTATAAAGTTAGGAAATAAAACAAAGCTGATCAAATTATAATATGTCTCAAAAGTTTAAATCCAACATTACATGAAATTTACTAATCATTGATAACAGACTTGCTGGTTAGCCTATAACAATATTCAAACTGATATATATCAAAGATAGTATCAAACAACTATAAATACTTACTTAGAATTATATAAAATAAAATTTAAAAAAATATAATAAAAGTAAATAAAGAAAATAGCAAAAAAACTAATTATAGTTTAAATAATCTAATATTACTTTGATAATTCTACTTCCCTAAAGTATAGTAACACTTTTTAAAATGACCAGATTATAGTATACAGTATATAATAGTGTTAATAATATGCATTTAACTTATTTATGCTTTGTACTTAAAGATACAGTATATACAAACAAATAATGAAATAATAATGCTAATTTAAAAACTTGCTTTTAGATAAATGAATAAATAAATATATTGTTATTTTAATTAATTGAACTACTTAAATATAAAATAAATATTTTAATTAAAATAAAAATTTTAATTTTTTGATTTAGTGAATATTTTTGTTTTTTAAACAAATTACCATATAAATTAACTTAAATAAATCACATATTTAAAATCTAAAATAAAATCTAAGTTTTAATAAGAAAATTATCTCAAGTTTTACGATAATTTTTTTTCTAACATCCTTCAGACTAAAAATCTCATTTTACGCCTAGGTATCTTGAATTTTGATAAATAAACCATGACCATTTATAAAGTTGACCCTAGTTTATTAGATAATAACCGTTGACTTAATGTCGCAAAAGAAATTATAATGTTGATACAACGATAAATTACAATAGAAAATTTGAATAGAAAATTTCCCAGGCCTGAATTATATTGTAAGGTGGTCAATGCCTAACAAAGATTATCGATTTTTTTTAATAAAACAATTCAGTAAATTGTTATAAAGTATTCTGTCTCCTATATTTATTACTTTCGAAAAATACTCCATCGTCCCCGCCCTCGTTACTTTCAGTCGTGCCTATAATTTCTATACTTTCTTTACTGGCTGCTTTTGAACCGCTTCCGAAAGAATCATCAGGTTCAATCATGCGTACATTGGAGAACTGATTATTCTGAACGGAAGTTATATTCGACGAAACATGGTATATGTTATCATCGAAGTTCTCATTATGCGCAAATATCTTTTCTTCGCTTGACACATCTGGAGTCAACACCCAACTTTGATTCAAACTGCTATGCGAGTTATTACTTTGCCTTTTCACTGCGAGTTGTCGAGATCCCGATCGAGAAAGATAACCATCCTGTCGATCCCAAACTTGGAAACCTGTCGCTATTGTAGAGTAGGATGACGATGACGACAGGGACGGAGCTGTTTCATCTGCAAAGTTCTCAAAATCCTTTTGTCTTTGTCGAGCATACGTTTCAGGAAAACTCGAACCATAGAGGCTTGCATGCCTTTGATGTGTAGCGCGTAAAGTTTGTTGAGAGTTGGGTGTCCGAATAGTAATAGGAGATGTAGGAGTTGTAGGGAGCACAGAAGTTGACAAATCATCTGTAAATTCTAGAATGAAATATGTAGAAGTAAACATCGGTGTATATTATAAAATGAAAATGAAGCCTGCAAGAGTGCATCATACCAGGTGTTGATGATCCTGAAACAGATCTTGAACGCCTTCGAATATTGCTTATAGTTAAATTCCCTAGAGACACTGATATCTTACGTATTTTCTTTTTCAGACGGTCCTGAATTTATCGTAAAAATAGAAAGAATGAATATTAAGAAAAACTTATAATCAAAAGAGTAATCTTAACAGAGAAGAACGTACGATTAAAGTATATGCGCTTTTAACTTCTTCATCAGTGACTGTCAAAGCTTGATACTTCTTTGGATCAGTTTCCTCCCTCCATTTTTGCGGGTTTGGCAAATCCGTAATAACCCATGGATGTTTCTAATTGTAAAATGACGTAAGATAATAACTCGTCGAACTGAATCATTTCAGAATAGGAATGTAATATTAACTTTGACTTCTTCTAAAGTTATCCTCTTTTGTTGATCTTTTTCTAATAGCCTCATAAGCAGATCTTTGAGATCATTGTCGATAGGTATATCACTAGGAAATTCCAGTTCTTGACGAGGAATAACGTGAAAAAACAGTTCAAACTCGGTGTCTGCTATGAAAGGACATCGACCAAAAATGAAGCAATACAATGTCACACCAAGTGCCCAAACGTCAATGGCCTTAGTGACGGGGGGTCGTTGCACACGTCCGGGTGAAGAATTAGCTGTGCCAATGTTAACTGTCGATACAGGTACCGAGTCCTTCGAAAAATCACCTGTAAGTTCATCAATCAATCAGTAAAATCCTCAAGTAACGAGGGAACGCCACTAAAAAAAATATGAAATCGAACTATTACCAGGGTAGCATAACTCAGGAGCAAAGAATGCAGGACTCCCAGCAGTCTTAACTAAATCCATGTCTTCCTGAGCAGATGCACCCGAAATTTTTTTATTAATGGAACGTTGACTAAAATGCGATACGCCAAAATCGGAAATTTTGACAACACCATCAGCCGTAAGCAGCAAGTTAGCCGGTTTGATATCTCGGTGTATAATCCCTTGATGATGAACTATAAATAACAAAAGATGTATTAGTTTATAGACATCACTATATGACCTTAGGAACGAACGAACGAACGAAACAAAAGTAGATGGTTTATCACTCACGGTATTCCAAACCCAACACCACATCTCTAAAAATCCTTCGTGCTTCTTCAATACTTATAACAGGGCGATCAAGATCATCTTTCCATCGTATTTCACCCCCCTCCATATATTCTAGGACTTAAAGTTTAATAGTTTAAAAAAGAAAAGGGATAAATGGTAAATGACCCCTTGATTAACTTTAATATCAAAGATCAATGCGAATTTACTAATAGCCGGAACCTACACCTAATATATAGTTATGAACCCACTGTTATTCTTTCTCTAAGATGTTTCGATCCAATGAATTAACATACCCATATAAATCTTTCTGCTCATTGGGTCATCGATGACTTCTTTAAGCCTGACGACATGTGGATGAATGCATTTCTTTAATATTGCGATTTCTTTTCTAATTTTTTGCTCGTTGGTTAGTTCATTGCTACGTGAGCCTAACCGACGACGAGTCACTCGATCAACAATTTTAATGGCCTTAACAAATGGGAATAAAAGTAAAAAGTTGGATTCCAAAACAATTAAATAAAATATGTTAAAGTCTTCTTAAGTAAATTATTTGATTCCATTGTTACTATGAACATTTAAAAAAAGAGTCAAAGTACTTACAACCAATTCTCCTAGTTCTAAATCCTTCCCCAATTTGACCTTTCCGTGCACTCCCCTACCCAATTCCTTGATCAACATATATTTGTTAATTATTTTGTTTCCTGTTGCAGGATCATAGTCTTTATGCATTGTATGTGTTTCTTTCACTTCCAAAGTTGGAGTGCTATTACTACGATTAAAAAATGGTTTCTCATTTTTCGCTTGTTCTAAATTGTTTGTATGTGATCCGAAAAATGAGAATATGGATTTTGATGAGATGGGTGATGCTAAAACTTTATTTGTGTCCTTGGATGGGGTTGGAGGAACAGATATAATTGACTCTGATGATCGATTCTGATGAACATCCTCATAGGATCCCCTGCGCGAAGAACGGTGGGTTAGTGTTAATCGACCTTGATCAGAATTTTGTAATGACGGACTTTTTTGTCCATTATCGCTCAAAGAAGAAATTTTTACATTAGGCTTTGACCCACGTAGGCCTTTTAAACTAAGTCGTAATCGCTTCTTTTTTTCTATTGTTGTCTCAGAATTTGGAGAAGCATATGACGACCCACTAAATGTGAACTCCTCGGTAGATGCTTGTCTAGGACTTTTATCAGTCAGATTATCAGTTTCTAAAGCCTTATCAACACCTTGACGATGATATTTTTCTGTTTCGAACTTTCCCTCGGCCCTTAACACAACACTAGACCTATTTCTTAACAAATTCCTTTTTGTATCATTAGTAGCTTGTTCTCCTAAACCAGGTTTGGACGAATCATGAAAATGCGATGAATCCGTTATTGAAGTGGGTACATCCGCTGGATTATATCTAACTGTTGGGGAAGTAATAGCGCTCGCCCCGCTGCCTCGACGCGCAAATAAATTAGCATGAGTAGGTGAAGGAAAAGAGAGCGAAGATGCGGAATTCGGTATTTTGGTGGTTTCTCGATTCTCTTGCGAAAACATAGTTTCTCAAGTGAATAATTATTTTCTATATTTCAACCTTGTCAAGAATATGCCAGACCGTATTGAATAATGTGCAACTTCAGTGGTTTTTCTTTCAAATCCGACAAAGTTGAATAGTGTTAGAAGGTATAGTTTGACCTGAATAGTTTAACGCTCAGAAAAAATAAGATGCTGGGGATGCGTGAGGACTCGACCGCCATGTGCTCGAGAGGGATAAGATTGTCACGCAAGCTAAAAATAGTTAATTGTTCCAAGTCTCCGCTAAGAACGATTGAATTTAATTTCTCGATCATGTTGGTCATGTAATTTGTAATCATCACGTGTTAAAACTTGACCAATAGTAAAAATTTTGATTAACGTATTCTTATTACTCACGAAATAACTCAACATGGAGCCACCTATTATTTATTATCCGCGTTTAGAATACATTGAAACTGTAAAATCCAAAGAGTTGGTTTTTTTTTTTTCTTTGATTTTGTGTCGAATTAACTTATGTTTCTTGTACTTTGTGTTTATACTAATAGGATACAGGCAATAAAGTTAGTCGTAAGTCTGTAATTTGTGGTAGTCAAAATATCATACTTGGTGGGAAGGTGAGTACAGAAACTAAAAGTTCTACAGAAGTATATTTCTACATTTAATGAAAGAATGTTACATTTTACGCATTTAGACCATTATTCAAACAGATTGTGTTATTCGAGGGGATCTGAGACGTACCGGAGGTGGTCATGCTGTAGTGGTTGCTATTGGGCGATACTGTCTTTTAGCTAAGGGCAGCATTATTCGACCTCCGTATAAAACATATAAAGGGTATGGGAATGCTCCGGGGAAAATTCAAGACATTTTCAGTTTATTCTATCTATAGGTTTAAACAAAAACTTTTTATACATTTTCAGGATTTTCAGTTATTATCCTATGAAGATAGGTGATCATGTTTCTATTGGAGAAGGCAGCATTGTAGAGGCGGCTACAATAGGTTCATTCGTACACATAGGAAAGAATTGTGTCATTGTAAGCATTAAAAGTTATTTTCCTAAGATTCTAAATTTTAATATTACAAGTAGTAATGTTTCTATGATAACTCAGGGACGTTTTGCAATTATTAAAGATTGCTGTCGAATTGAGGATAATACTGTGATACCGCCGAACACCGTTGTTCCCTCTTTTTCAATTTACGATGGATCTCCTGGTCAGTTATATTTGCTTTTGTAATTAATGATTTATTTATACTCACTATAATTTGATTTGTCCAGGTGTGTTCGTAGATGAGCTACCGGAATGTGTGCAGGACATTTATGAAACTAGGACAAAGGATTATTACTCAAAATTTCAACCCAAAGATTGAGACGAGAACTATCATCAACTACATAACCATCAGAATCCTATTCGTTTTCATACAAATTCAATACGTTCAAAAGAAAATAACTCATTTTTATTTAATGTAATTTTAATGTTAGTCATTATTGTCCAGGCTTTACTGGTTCGAAAATTATTTTTTGATACCACACTACGTCCAGCACGCACGTGTTCAGAAACATCTACCGGACAATCTTCCTGATACTATAACCAAATTTAGTGGTGAAATTCTATTGACAATGTTCCAATTAATAAGATTTTGATTTTCTTTGCAAATCAAATATTTTCCTTGAATTCTTTATTCATATGTAATTCATAGTACTTACATTAAATATTACAGAAGTTTACAAAGTTAGTCATGATTATTTAAATGTTATTAATTTTTCTTTTATAATCTAATAAAAATTATTTAATTGTGTAAATTGTTAACATATTTCTTAAATTTAAAAAATGTATTTTTATGTTGGAAATTAAACAATAATTAATTAAAAAGTATTTTTAAGAAAGATTCAAACAATTATTAAATTATTTTTTATTAATTATATGTGAAAATAATATAGGTGAAAAAAAAAACAATCATTTTTTATATAGAAAATATATAAATTTAATATTAGCCTGCTTATTAAAATTCATTTAACTTATATTTAGAAATTATAATAAATAAGTCAGATTGGATTTTAACTAATTTAATTTAATTTATAGAAATATAAATCAAATTTGATTTGAATCTGATTTGATTTGATTTGATTTAAACCAATTTATTTAAATTTACTTAAAATATATTTAATTTAATTTAATTTATTTAAAATTAATTTCAACAAGCCCAGCAGTAGACAACTCAGACATCAGGGAACAACAACTCAATCTCAACACCAGGATGACAAGCATCGACAACACCTTTCAAGATGTAGTAGGTACTCTCAACCAACTTATTGACATTACAACAAACATAAACCCCCAATCTAACAACCCAGATGAGCAACAAAACTAGATCCAACAAGGAACAATCCAAGACGTTAATATCTACACACACTGGAGACAACTTACCTGACAATAATCCATCCCCCTACCAACAAATCATCACATCATGGAAAATCCTAATACACAACGTTAGAGATCTTAATGATCCTACCAAACAACAAACAATATTTACATACTGCACTCTCAGAAATATTGACATCACTCTCCTTACAAAGACACAAATACAGAGTGAGAATCACAAATACTGGAAACACCCGACATATAACATAACCTGGAGCAATAACAACAAAGGAGCCGGGGTTGCACTCTTAATCAAAAAAGACATTGGCAAACACATAGGAAAAATTACAGAATACCCAGAGAAAGTAATAAGCGTCGACTTGCAATTCAAGGAAAAAGAACACATTGGCATTCTAGAAGTATATATACCAGCAGGAGATGGCCAAGAGAAGAGAAAAGTAAATAAATGGATAGAAGACGAAATCTTAAAGAGACATGGAAAGAACTGGAAAATGATCATCCTAGGGGACTTCAATTTGGTAGTGAATCCATGGATAGATCAATAATCAACAATCAATAAAAAACACAACTCCCAACTCCTCACCTCAACTGCACTCCGGGTTCTACAAAACCTGAACTACACTGACTGCTACAGGACTCTCAACCTATTTAATCCAGGCTTTACCTGGAAGAACTCTAGAAATATGACATCAAGACTAGATTATGTTTGGATATCTGATCATAACGATTAGTATCCAACAGAAGCAAGAATCAGCTCAGAAGCCATGGTAACAAACAGTGACCATGCCATTATCCAGACAACTATCGCCATTCCAAACCTCTTGGAAATTTCCAGAACAGTAACAAACAAACAAAATGAAACCAGATACATCACTATAGGGGCATCAGCAAAACATTGGGAAAACTTCCAAAAGGAACTTCACCAAACTCTCCTATAGCAAGACAACACATGAACCTGAACAGCATCTCCCCCAACAAGCTTTGGAACAAAACATGGGCAGCCATCAACAAAGCCAGATCCAACCACCTCTCCAAAGTAAAGATCAGAAAAGACAGGAGAAACAACACAACTGACAAGAAGCTAGGCCCAATAGAGAAAGAAACAACCGAAATCAGAAAACTATACAGCAAGGGAAAACAATACTTCAAACACAACATCAGACCTCCACAGATGATAGCAAGCATACGCAAATCAATCCAGATAATTAATCACACAACAGCTGCTATTCAAGAACCACCGTGGCAAGAGACAAATCACCAAACACCACTGGCAAAGGCATGGCTCGAAGAAGTCAAGCTGCTCTAGGCAACAACCTACAAAAGTTTCAAAATATTTACAAACTAAAAAATCCAAGAGAAAATACAAAAGGATATGGAAAAAAAACTTCTACATCTTTCAATAAACAAAAAACAAATGATTCGCTCAATTCTCCAAAAAGAAAACAATAATATCCTCTTTGAGAAAATAATCATCCAGGAGGATTTTCCCTCAGTAATTACAGACCCAAAGAGATCAAGCAAGAGATAACAAGATACTTCAAACAACTCCTGGACAACATACTGCCCACAGAAGAAAACCTAAACAAATGGAGACAGAACTTCCTTTCAAGAGTGGAGATTCTGGATGACTGCTATGACACATGCACCCAAGAGATCTCTCTTACAGAAGTAAAAGAAGTAATCAAAAAAGCTAAAGCAGAATCAGCACCCGGAAAATCTCAGATAAATTACGCAACACTCAAATACATTGGCTCCTTAGGCCTCTCCAGGCTAACAACACTTTTCAACCGGATCCTCCAAACAAGAGAGATCCCAAGGAAATGGCAACACAATCTTATCTATTCAATTCCAAAAACCTCAAACTGGCAGTACGACCTCAACTTGACCAGATCCATAGCACTATTAGAAACCATTAAGAAAGTATTCACGAAGATCATCAACAATAAACTCGCACAAGTACTAACAACACACCAGATTCTTTTACCTCTCAACTAGGCAGAACTTCCAGGAGGAGGGATACACAAACCAATAATGATCATTAACCATATCATAGAAGAAGCAAGAGAGGCAGGGAAAGAACTCTGGATGCTCAGCCAAGACATTAGCAAGGCCTACGACTCAATGGAGCATACAACACTCAACAGGGCAATGAACCGTATCAAGATTCCACATTCCATCCAAGAGATAATTATAAGTTGCATCACAAGACGAACCACTCAAGTAATCACACAGCATGGACTCACCGAATCCTTCCAGATTGAACAAGGAATAGACCAAGGTGACACAATATCTCTTCTCCTCTGGCATATCTACTATGATTCACTTATCACAAGAATAGAAAATCAAAGTTGGGCTATAAAATGGAATCAAAAACATCCACTGCGTGCTTTGGACAATGGAACAGACACACCATACACATATTATCAGTCTCATACATGAACGACACAACATGGTTCACAAACTCAAAGAAAAATATGCAGAAAATTGCAGACCTGGTAGACAGCTATGCAAACATCGCAGGCTTAAGGATCAACCCTAACAAATCAACACTTCTGACCATCAACAATACTCAACAACCCACCATTAAATTTCAAGCAAAACCGATTTCGACACAGAGCAAAGAAACAGCGATCAGAATCTTGGGCACATGGATAACAAGCTCAGGATCCAAAAGACACTAAAAACAATTGATAAAGGATAAAACATCCTTTATGATGAGACGACTACAATTCAGAAAAATCACAGACAAACAATGCAGATATATTATCAATCAAGTGCTAACTCCAGCATTAGAATATTTAATACAGGACACAATCTTGTCTCAACAAGAATGCAATGCAATCAACAGCAAAATCATAGCGCTCTTCAAACACAAATTAGCTCTTCCAACAATAGCAATCAATAATGAAATTCATCTTCACACAGGATATAAAATTTTCAACATATGTGACAGACAGATCAAACTAATAATTACGAGATGACTCTAGGACCTCAATGAGACAAACATCACCGGACAAATCACAAGAACAAGGTTACAGCATCTACAGAACTGGGCATGGACCACCAAAGACATCCTGCAGGCTGAATACACCACCACAACAGCTTCACAGAAAAATCTAACAGCACAAATACTAAACATATTAAAACTAAACAACCTTCAGATAAGGGCAACAGCAACACACAAACTGACATCACCTCTACCCCAAAACAACTGAACACCAATTGAAGAACACATGTCATTTGAATGGTATGATAAGAACAAAACCAACCTAAGAAAACACAATCTCTTCTACCTGGAACAAATAATGAACATTATCAACTCACATTGGATAACATGGATATATTTCAAAACCAGGACAGGAGCAAAATGCATAGGACGCAAACCCAACTGGTTTGAGGAGATCATCCAACAACAAGAGGATAACAACATCTCTCCATCTAGGACAACAATAAACACATTTGCCACCTGTAACCTGGCAAACCAGGAGAACATTCAGAAACACAGATATATCTTTGCTATCATCAACCAAAGCATATATATAGGAAAGATAAACAAACAGGCCAGGGTTCTGGAAAACTCATTCAGAGCACAACACTTTACACAAATAGCAGACGACTCACCTATTGAAAAATGCAAAGGATGTAACATGGATACAGGGGGGAAAATAAACACATGCACCAGAAGTATTCAACTAAAAGAGGTGATCACACTTCCAGTCAAAACAACAAAAA